ATTGAAACTTTTGCATTCAAAATATATATTACAATTGCTATTAAAACAAAGTGTGTTAAAATTATGTATTTGTACATTACATTATTCCTGCAAATTATTGATTGGTAAAAATAAAATTTGCAGATTTCTATGTCTTATGAAAATGTCAAAAAATTGTTTCAAAACTCATTTTGAAGTAAAAATTATCAACTTAAACATACAAATTTGTGAATTTATAACATGTTTACCCTGATAATAATAAATTATCGTACCAGAATTGTTATGTTAGTTGTACTCTACTTAAGAGATCTAATTTATCATCCATCCAGGTGTGTTTTTTTGTCTAATACCATTGTTGCTAGTTAATTTGATATATGATAATTATTTCGCTAGTATCATTTGCTTGACTTTAGCCAAAAGCCAATTATCTCTGTCAGGATTGAGTAAATGTATCGCTTTCATTCTAATGTCCTCGTCCATTGTATGCTATTTATCTGAAAGTATAAATTCAACTTCATTCATTCATTGTAATAAAATAACACATTAAATAAGAAAAATAAGACTGAAATAAATATGATTAATAGGAAACACCAAAGAAACTTAAAAGAGCTTGTTAAATGGTGTCCCCAAAATATGATATAAAGTATTTATTGATATTAAAAAAACATTTAAGTTGTAAACATACCGTAGTTTAAAAGTTGGTACTTTTAACAGTGAACAATAAAGCTATTTATTATACTGTTGTCTAATTTTTATAGTAAGATAAGATTTATTTGTTCTCTCTTTTATAACAGAGGAACACTCACATGCAGGAGAGGTTCAACCCATAGTTACAAAACAACAACTGACAATATATAAAAATTAATTATTGAAAAGATAAATGAGTAAAGAAAAAATACTGGACAAGCAAAAGCAATGTTATTCTCATTATTCTGTAGTAATTATTAAGGAATAACTTAATGTACAAAAAAAGAAATAGAGAAAGAAAAGAAAAAAAAATATAGAATTCCATTACAGAATATAAAGTAAATAAATAAATAAAAATGACAACAAATATTAATAATCAAATCATAATTATTGAATTCCTAAGGTACACGGACTATTTATTTGAAAAAAAAAATGTGATGTGCCTGTGGTCATGGTGATATCACATCATGACCTTATATAGGCACATCAGTAGTATTATATATTTTTATATTTAATGAATAATCCACGCAAAAAGGAGGCTTCTCCCCTTCCAACTCTTCATCCACAGCTGCCACAAAATAATTGAACTTATACAAGTTGTGGTCATTCATAATCTAAAATTGGAATTAAATTGTCTGTCTCGAGCTTTTCAGTTTGCATTCTAATTTAAAAATGGCACATCAGGTGGTAGTAAACTTAATACTGTAAGACTGAACCGACAGTGTGTTGCACTCAAAACACATGTAAACAAGATAATTAAAGTGCAAACATATAGAATTTTTTCCCATAAAAACTAATTTCACTTAATGAGACCGAGAAATGAAGATGTAAATTGCAGTAAAATTCTTTACAATTGTTCGAACTCAATTCATTTTTATGTATGCAATTGTGAATAATGATGTGGTTATTGGATGCTCTAAGCACAAACAGTCCATCAATGCAAAATATATGATGATAGAAATAGCAGTTTAGCTCTGCAGTGCTGTAATGGTAACTGTACTGCAAGTCACCGGTTGGATCTCTGTGGTGATGTAATTATTTTGTTTGCGCAATTAATTTTAGTCCAACTACTGTAATTGTTGAGTGTACAGTAGCTCTAGATTGTTGGTTAAGATGCTAGCCATCTAGTCCCAGAGTGCTGAGTTCAAATCCTGCAATGTTGATAAGGTGAAGGTATACTGTATTTTGTTGGTCCTGTAATCAACATAGTTTCTCTCTCAGTACAATTTATATAATAAAATAAATGTTTGTCTTGAAAAGGAAATTACGACAGGTTTCCCTCCAATTAAAGACAACTTTAAAGACCATGGTTTTCATGGTATTTGGTACTTTAGTATTTTATTAGAAAATCAATTATAAAAATAAAAGATATTCATTTAGGGCCACAAAATTTTGGTCTTTAATAGAGGTGGTTTTAATTGGAGTGGTCTTCAATTAGAGGGAGGTCTGTACTTAGAAAATGATTAAGTTTGCTACTGGCATATCCTTGGCCCAAAATAAATATAAAATTAATAATTAACTACTGCTATGAACAAAATGCTACATCGATATTATTTAACTTGGAAATTTAAAGATAATATTAGCATATCAGCATTTTAAAATTCAGGGAAATTTTTTTGCTATTAATATGTATCACCAGTCATCCATAAAGTGTCAAAAATAATTATTGCTTAAATTATTTTTTTATTTGCATTTACGGCAAACAAGGTTTGAGAAGTTGCTCTAGGTACGGTACAAGGAGTATAGTAATAATTAGATAGTATTACTCTTAAATTGGGTTACATGATGATAGAACCAAAACATAAAGTAATATGCAAGTAAAGCAATTCTAGAGAGAATTTTAAATTAACATCGACATACTTAAAGCTTCAGTGTGATTAAAAGACGTTAATCTAGTCCAATTGAAAACAATTTTGATAACTGAACAAGTGGATGTAGACTGGTTTAAAGAAAAGATGTCTCTTACTGCCAGAAGCTAAACATTTATATACTGTATTGCCTTTGAAAATAAGAAATTATAGTATATTTTATTTCATGTCTTTAGTTCCCCCAAGCTATGTTTTGATGTTAAGGATTTATTGATTATATTGAAGTTGACGGTTCCATCAGTGTCATATTTATTGATATTTTCTCCTCTTGTCCCCTGTAATTCATATTAATAAAATAACTGGATTTTATTTCTATTTTAACTGAGGTTATGAACCTTATAATAGGAAATTGCCATTTTGAAAAATATGAATATAGCTTGGTTTAAAGAAGATAACTCTTACTGCCAAAAGCTAAACTTTTATATGCTATACATTGCCTTTGAAAGTAAGAAATTATAGTATTTATTTCATGTCTTTAGCTCCCTCAAGCTATGTTTTGACATTTAGAAAATTTAAGTTTATTGATTACATTGAAGTTTTACAGTTCTGTCAGTGTCATGTTTATTGATATTTGCTCCCATTGTCTGCTGCTGATATCTTTGTATGTCTTGGTAACTTAGATATATTTAATTTATGTAAGTTTTCCGTTGCCATATTTATGTATCTTATTCTTTCCAATACAATTCTTAATATAATTGCAATAAATTTCACTAAAAATAAGCAAATGCATACTGTAGGTACGCTAAAAGACAGTCCTCTCATTTCCATTCTACACTAAACCTGAAACTTAGAAAATCCACAATTTTCTATTCTGGCCCTATTTTATGGAACTCTCTCTCCCCAACACAATCTGATTAACTGTATTGTAGTTAAAACTAAAAAGGAAAAACTGTGGTATAGTGAACGAGATACAGATTTTTTAATATTTAAAAACTGGGGGGAAAATGCGTAACCGCCCATTTTTACACCTTTTCCCCCAGTTTTTTAATATTCAAAAATCTGTATCTTATTCACCGTTGCTCAGTTTTTGATCAAACTACTTTTTTCTGTCTTAGAAAATTTTTTTTCCTCCGGAGCCTTGCTTTAAGAGTTTGTATTTTTTTAAATTTTTCTTGCGAGCCTCATTTGCATTAAGCATTTCGCTTTTTGAGGTCTCGCTACTCCATATTATATTGTATTATGTATGTATAATTGTTCTATGTGTGAAATATCAAATAAAGTCAATCAATCAATCTACTCAGTACATTCCTAAATGCTTATGGGGAAAAAATCGCAAGTGATTCAGGTAGGAATCATACCCATGATCTCCAGATAACTGGCCTGGTATCATAAACCATTAAAGATGACCATCCAATGCTTGGTGGCTAAGGGTCAAATTTGATCTTAAGTTTCATAATTATTGACATTTTTCTCTTCTTATTCCCAATAATTCATATCAATAAAATAAAACAACTGGATTTTATTTTTATTTTAATAATAAATGTGTGGTTCTGAACCTTTGGTTATAAATGATGGTTTTGTCTATAACATGATGTGTTATAAGTACAGAATACTCAGTACATTCCCAAATACTTAATAAAAAAAAATCACAAGTGATTCATGTAAGAATCGAACCCACAACCTTCAGATAACTATAGTCTGGTATCATCCATTTAACCACTAAGCTTGAGCGCTTGGTGGCTAGGGTTGAATTTGATCCCTTAGTAGCACTGGGTATGCCTACTGTCGCACAATGGTATTGGATATTTGTTTATGTCAGTGTGTAAAATGTAGTAATAAATTTGCTGTCTATATTAAGTTACAAATAATAAATTTAAAGCATAATAACATTCATATTGAATTTCTTACTTTGGATTATTTCTCATATCAAATATTAGATTTAGGAACATGTTCTATATTGTCAATTAACAGATGTCACTATATGCTTTCTATAACATTGCCACCCAAAACATTTAAAAATGAATTAAATTTGTTACACATTCACTTTTGCAAAAAAATAGAGTTAAATCTCCCTGCTTTACATCTCCCTGGTTAAAGTTTGCATGTTCGAACTGTGCAATAAATTGTCGTACGCTTTTGAAATTGTACGGGATTGTATATCTATAGACATTGTGATTATATGTGGAATTTTAATTACAACCGTTGTTGTTTTTGTTTTGCCCCGTAATCTTGTACTGTAGTTACGTTGTTTTGCCACGGAAAACCACTAGATTTTAAATTTTGTGCTTAAAGAAAAGTGGTGCTATATCCGAAACTAATCATTATTGAGACCTGAAATTTTTGACTGGTAATTCAGACAGGTGCAGATCCAGTGGGGTGGGGGGGGGGATGAGGGCCCATGCCCATGCCCCCTCCCCCGTCGGTCAAGATGAAAAATAAAAAAGAGGGAGAAAATTTGAGTTAAGGAGATGAAAAAGGGGAAAACTGAGTGCACCCATGAGTTTAGTGGCGATCTAGCAGTGGGAGAAAGGAGAGCTCAATTGTTTACCACTTATTTACACCAACCATGGTGGGACGGAGGTGGGCGTGGCGGCATGGACTTTATATTGTGCTCTCCTTGTGTTTCGACTGAGGAATTGTCTCCTGGTATACTGCCTAATTCTCCACCAGATGAATCCCACTGGAACAAATCTTCGGACTTGGTAGGATCGTTAGTGTCATCCACACCAAAAATACTCTTTATTTTTAGAGTAATGGTAATATTTTAAGATCCGCTAATTTTTGGTTCTAATTTTTTTTTATATGGAAAGTAACATTGATACAATAAACAATTATGATTTTTTATTTTTTTATTTTTAAGTTTACAATAATATATTAGTAAAAACCAAAACTACACTATTAAAATGTCCTCATTAATTCACATTTATTGTGATCTCACCATTGTTTAGCGAAAATAAATGTGAAAAATATTCTTACCTGAAGACCAAATTACAGAACTGTTTTTAAAATTATGTTAGTTTTGTAATGAGATTTTCGTTTGCGTATTAAGTGAACATCATATTTGAAATTCCACACTAGCAGTGTACTTGATATTTCGATCACGTATGAACGAAATATGTTTAATATTTGTCACGTTTTAAGTAGCGATCAACAATATAGGTGGTACAAGTAACATTTGAATATGTATAATGAATATTCATACATTCAATTTGCATAAACTTAAATAAGTACTTACTGTAGACATGGATTTTATTGTAATAAATATCATTGAATAATCATAATTAAATATATTAAAATGATCAGATTTTCCTAGAAAATTAAAAAAATATAATTTATGGATTTAAAGAAAAATTGATCAGTTGATATTTTATTTTAATATTTGAACAGTTTTTCATATGGGGTGTTTCTACTGAAAGTTTCAATAGAAACGGTTCTCCTTATCATTGATTGATATATACAGTAGATTGCCGAAATAAGGACTAATAACAACACCACAAGTAAATGATTCAGTGCATTTCGACACGACGTAAGAACCTGTTGTTTTTTTTTTCTATTGCCACACGAAATTGTTCTTTAAAAGAGAATTGATAGAAACTTTTTTTATCCAGTAGAAAGACACCCATAAAAACAGCATTGTAAGTTAACGTACATTAATTTTACCAACATAAACAAAAGATCAGTTTTATGTCTAAGTACTTACACAATATACAATATACACGATTCAATATTAGATCACTGTAATACAGTCAGGGAATTAAATTGATCGAAATTTGATAACACCTATGTGGTGTTATGTTTAAACTTACCACTTTACAAATTACCAATGTTATACTGTAGTTCATTGAACATTTGAATTTAAATATTCAAATTTTGAGAAAGATTTAACTCTCTTTATTGTGCTATATAATGTTACCAAATATTCCTAGTAGTAATATGTTGTATTCTTTATAAAAAAAAAAATTAAAATACTCTGCAGACAGTATGATAAACTGCCAAGAGAAAGTTATATATTTTGGGGGTTGGGGAGATATAGTACAGACAGATATTTGACCTATGAGAATTATTCAAAGGAGGGATATTTTATTTTGATGCTGTAGTAGATGTTTTGTATTTTAGCTCAATTCTATATTACAAAAATTATAGAAAATTTCATATTCCACTATAAAACAGTGCATATTTTTTATTCTTACATTTTAGCACCATGTTTCATTAAGATTTTGTGATTTAACTACAGTAAATTTGATATTTTAAATATTTTATGAATAATTAATTATTTTCAGTCCTACATATTTTGGAAACCAAATAATTTAGCTTATTTCTTGGCATAACATGAACAAAATTCAATATTATATTTTGATACCCTGTCAAAATAAAATATTATATTATTAGTCTAATTATTATAGTTTTGTTATATTTATGTATGTTAACGTGCATACTTGAAAATTTGTACAAAGTACAAGTTGTTGACGTACAGTGCTGTACATAACAACCTCATTACCTTGAACGTCATTTGAAGGTATTTGGATCAATTGGAAGATAAAGTGTTTTTTTGAAGTAATATCATGGTATTAATATTGTTCACTGAATATTAAGAATTATCAACATTTTGATATTATTTAATGATCAAAATATTACATTTGTAATGCGTAAAGCAAGATATCTGTGTTACCCCAGATTTTATTATATAGTAGTTTTTATCAACATATTTATATATTTAATATATTTTTCAAATAGAATAGGAACAAAAATCTGAAGATAATTTTTGTAATTCCCAACTAAATATAATAAATAATTTTGTAGGAATACTGTTAGATAGATGTAAATACTGTAAATGTACTACTATAACAATAATTTATAAAAATAAAGTATTTAAACAAATTTAACAATGATCATTTTTTTTTTATTTAACCTTAACAATAGTTTATAATACATTTCATCAAATATGGTATTGTAGTACTTTCAAATAGTTCTACATTATCATATTTTCAATATATTTCCGACAAATTGTTGATATAAAATAGAATGGAGGTACTGTATTCCCTGGTTATACTGTGCTCACGATTTCATGTATACTTAAATTTTCATATAGTGGAACTTCTCGTATTCGTCTTGGTCTCTTTGCCTTTGGCGTCGGCCTAAGTGACGCATTCTCGTGAGAATTTTGCCATGCATATATAATTTCGAAATCTTCTTGTTTATACGATTTAGGTTGTATCGTTAATTTCTCCTGCCGTTTTCTCTTCGTCCAACACCACACCCAGATGAAATTATTAACGAATAAAACTCCAAGGAATCCAAACGCCATGGATTCCGCTAACAGCGATTTAATAAACCACATATCACATTCATCAGAGTCTGTTTGCTGTCGAGTTCTTGCATCAACCATTACAATTCTAAAGTAATCAACCAGAGATGAACAGTTATCTGTTGTTGATAAACTATTCCAACATTTGTTTATATTATTTGTTCCATTAACTGGTTTGCAAGTTAAATTACTTTGCTTTAATGAACTTTGTGCTTCTGTACTGTCAACCAAAATATCTGAACTACAATTTTCTAGGTTTTCTTCATCGGTACACTGAAATTTCCAATTATTTTCTTTTGGTTTAATGAGATAATAACAGGCATCAGAATCAGGAAGATGTTTTGATGTTTTGGTACAGGCAATTTTCTTCAAAACAAGAATACTGTTCAATTTTTGTTCAGTAGATATCGTAGAGTTTAATAACTCTTTACTGTTTTCATTGGATTTATTTAAAGCTACTGGTGTTTTATTCTTTTTGTGTATACTCACACTCGAGGTGTCCTGCATTTTTCCGATTTCTCCCGGCACAGATTCAGGTGTGGGTAGCTGCGGTCGAAGTGAATTTGTGTTTGTTGTAGGCATGAACTTTCTGTATGTTTGCGGCTTGTCAGTATTCCATTTAGGAAGTGTTACCATCACCGTTTCATCAGTTGCCTTTATCATACATTCAACCGTGAGCATTATACAAAATAAAATGAAAAGTGTTTCTGGTTTTGTTTTCCAGTCCATTTTGGTTTCCTTTGAATAATTCAATAGTTTTTCTCGTATTTAAATTCCAGAAGCAGGTCCAATCTCTCTTCTGTCATTGTCGAGAATATTGTATAATACTAATATGATGATTGATCCAACTTAATTCCGCGTAAAAGTCAATAGCATACATTTCGCGACACTGATGACAGGCAAATTAAATTGCTGATACCGTTTGCAAAGTTACGCTCGTCGCACTAGCCTTATTTCTCACCTATTAATGTGGACAATTCCATTCCCGTGAGACTATTTTAACTGGTTGTCCATGCATCAAAGATGAATAGCCTCATTTCATTTCTGGTCCATGTGACAATAGCTTTTCATTTGACCAAACTAATGAGTTTTATCGTACGTTGAGTGATCATGAGAATATCATGCCCCAAAGCGTGGTAAATGTCTGGATGTCAATCTCCACTGTTTTCATCCACTTATTGATTATTTCAACATTAAAGATGAGCGGACCTCTTGCTGGTGTCAAGCCTGGAACAGTGAGTTGAGAACTGCATCACGTTCCACTAAATAAACAATTATCACAAAGTAATTCCCCTGAAATTTATTTACGCTCTCACAATATTGAAATTCTCGTTACTTTCAAATATTATCATCTGTGAAGCAACTAGCTTTTCATGATTATAGATAAAAGCAAATTATTTATCTCCTGCATCCCATCAAAGTTGTTTACTGCAGAATAAGATGCAATCTACTTTAATAAACACATGTTTAATTCCCTTCAATGCTTTGACAATGCTTCACTGATACAAGTTTACATACCAAATATAATTGTCCATCAGTTTTATACTTTAGTTTCTCATAAAGTATATTTCAGTGTTGCTGTTTCTGTAGACCATCTAGTTTTTCTGTGTTCTTCTTGAGAATTGCTTTGAAAATAAAAAATACTACACTGCCAATTTCATTTGCTTTCCCGTATGACTGCTGTGTGACGTGTTGAGATAAGCGCATTTCACTGCAGATTTACCTGTGATAAGTTGCAATTCCCAGCAGATTTACCGAATTAAGTTGGTATTTTTCTTCAAGTCTTGTCTCAATAAATCTGAAAAAGTAATCATCAAATCACCATCTGCTTCCAGGGATAATTTGCATAATTAGCCATTCTCTATGCAAGCAGTAATATTTTTCATTTGCCGAGCTCAGTCTGTCGTGACTTGTAATGTGCATTCAAGCATGAAGTCTTCCTACATGTGCACGTATTCTGTGCACACATTCAGTATAGAATGGACACGGTCTCAACACATTTGCTTTGTCTGAAATGCTATTGTTTTTCAAGATCAAGAGAAACTGAGACAATTTTATAAGGATGCATTACCTTTGACCTTTCATTTTAATTTTATATTGCCTGAAGCGTAAACAGCTTTGTTATTCCCCAGCTGACTGTGTTGGTTTACAATAATAATAATTTTAACATTTTCATGACATTTAAAAATTAAAAGGAAAAAAAAAATCAATTTATATTCAATTCAAGGTAGAGGTTTCGCTGTTGTTTTGAACAGAAGCATTTTTTTTTAGTTGATTTTGATTTTCTCCAGCTTGAAGGTTAACATAAGCCTCCACAAAAAACATGGTAAACTTGATTAATTGCTTCAAAAATATTTGTTATATCCTGCCTACTGTATTATTTGTTTAATTGCGAGTTGTCATCAACTACCAATGTTACTTTAATTTTTTGTTGATAATAATGTTAATTATTCTTCTTTAAACTTGGGGTTTGTCTTATACGTGGATAGTCTGTAAATTTACAGTAATTTTATTATACATATAACATGATTTTATTTTCATAGTTTTTAGCTCTGTATACTAATTATATCTTTAAAGAGTGATTTTATTTTGTTATACTAGAGTTGTATATTAAATTTGTAGTTTTTATTTTTTTTTTCTTTTTGTAAGAAACTTTACTCTAATGGACATTTCCTGAGTGTCAATCAAATTTAACAACTGACCAATCAGAACATGACCAGCAATATGCGCATGTCCCACAAATGCACGTACAGTATTTGCGTATGTGTTTTACAGGACACTGTTGTTTTGTGGGACCTTCTGAAAGGTCCATTACCTGCTATTCATTTAGGATGGGTTCAACTGTAATAGCTCATTTGCACAAAAATGAACACTATTCTAAGAAGAAAGGTCTTGTCCCGATTATCAAATTTTCATTGACAAAATAAAAACTGTTGTATGCCCATATATGGTCATGTTGTGATGTCATCATGACTATATACTTATTCTTTATTTAGCCAATGAAAAAATGTACAAATCAAAATCCAAGATGACAAGGAATGACCAAACTCTGGCCCTCAAGCTGGTCATTCCACCTTAGAAATTGATTAAATAAATACAAAAATATAACTTTCTTTAACTACAAAAGATTTGCCAGAGGAAAATTTGATTAAGAAAAGGATCGATAAAAGACAGCAAAAACTAGATAGCAAAAATAGCAATAATACAGTATTTATGGTAGGCATGTCACATGATTTTGTCAAGTAAAATTTGATAGTCTGCTCAGGGCTTAAAGCAAATTGTCTTGAGGTGTCCTGACCATAGTTTCTAACAAGAAAATTTATTTACATTTTACATTACATACTTTTTCGCCTACTTTAATAATCACATTTAAAAACAGTCATATTTTAAATTGTTAATACAAACAATTTCTGTCTTTGGCCGCAGGGTAAATGTCTTTATACTTGAATATAAAATAAAATCCAGAAAGATTTCTCTACAAAGTATGTCAATCGAGTCATGCCTTTGGGAAAGTTCATTGTACTCGCACCGTTGATTGGCTTTTGTCTAATTATTCGCCCGAAAGGATAACAAGATTATTTATACCCTGCAGTATTATACCTTTTATCGCTTGAATACTCCAATATTATTCTAAGTAATTTCCTGAAAGCTTTAGGAACAATATGTCAGTTTACTTTAAAAGATTGAAGTATGTGAATGTAGAGCAAATACTCACCTCAAGTCACAAGGTTTTGGTTCAAACAAACTCCACTTCATACTTTTTTTCATGAGATGGTCTCAGCTGAAAAACATAGATTCCCTACTCTGAGGATAAGGAAATAGCCTGGATTGAACTGGAAGTAGCTATCGTACATAATGTATTATACTTTCTTATCTGAGATTAATCAGTTGACATTTCTATCACACAGTAAATGCTCAAATAAGCACTGCACTTGAATAAGCGCCGCGCCAAACCTGATTTTTTTCACTAAGCGCCGCTCTCGTATTAGCGCCGCAGCACTTAATCAAGAGTATATAATAATTACCCTGTGTGTCATGAAACACTTTCGAGAAGCAGGGTTTTAAATACAATGTATAGTGTTAAAATGAATAAATAACACAAAGAAGACGCATGCATTTTTTTTATGAAAGTTTATTTACAATGACTAGGACCTATGATAGGCCTACCGAACTACAAGAATATGTGAGATAGGTAACAGGCATGGAAAGTGCAATGGTATACTTACATAAATTCAGAGTACAAAACTCCACCCTTGTTTCTTCAGAGAGGGCATAGACCATACCTTTCCAGAAAATGCACAGATTCCATACTAGAGTATTCATCACTCAGGATTAACGTGAAAGTAGCCACATGTACTCATATAAATTCAGAATTCTTTATTGAATTAAAACTCTACTACCACCACCTTTGTTTCATCAGTCCTTTTTCAGAAAATGCAAAGATTCCTCCATTTTCCTTAACAGAAATTTCCTCAAAAATCAAAATTTGTGTTGAAGTAGAAAAGGCACAGTGACCTTGTTACCTGTAGTCTGATAAACAGTTAATTCGAAGACTAACAGCACTTCAAAGACTGACAAACTATATTGGCACCAGTGGTGGCTCCAGAATTTGCCTGAGGGGGGTCCGAGGTCCCCGAGTGGGGGATTTAGCTGATGAAAAAAGTGGGTGTGGTCGGGCGTCACTCAAAATATCTCGAAAGTAATTCATGGGGGCGAATCCCCCCAAAAATATGACAATTTAGGGGTTTTAAAGGCTTCTTTCATCGATTTTGATTCTCCCCCGACAAATTGTGGTTTTTCTCTCCAACGGGGGGGGGGGTTGGGGAACATGATCCCCGGGCACCTTACCCCTTGCTTGCTCACCGCTGATTGGCACAGCTTTTGGTCTTCATCAGGTGATAAATCTCAAACAAAGATTTACAGTATGAAAGATGTTTTAGCTTTACTTCAAAGATTAAAGTGGAAGTAGCCTACACACAGTGTACTGTATTGCACTCACATAAAGTAACAGTTTATTCTTGGTTGAAGAAAAACTCCACTACGAGCCTTATTTCATCAGATTGGAAAGAGCTACAATATGCAGAAAATGCACTTATTTCCTTTATTAACTATTAAATATGAGCTGGTAGTAAATTATTTTCTAATGTAGGTTTAGTAATTTAAAACATCTGTCTGTGATAGTATCTGAATTTATATCATTGCTTACTTCATTTAAATTGGATTGGATTTATTCAGTGTAAACATCAGGGATCACATTTTCAGCAGCTTGTGACTACTCCCAGTCTCTTGTTCACCTAGATGTAAATTACCTCCTTCCAAGGGCTTAGCCAGCGACCAGCACGGTCGTCTTTTGGACGGCCAAAAACTATTCAGGACAGCCACTTATACTGTACCGTTACGGCTTGGCCTACTCAGCTTGGCCTAGCCTAGTTGGGGCTGGTCTACTTTAATAGCAAATTCTTTTATATTCTTTGAATTTTAAATGTTGCATTAAAACTAAAGCCTATTTCGCTTTTCTGGCTAAACCCCTGCCTCCTTCACACCTCTCTCAAATTTAACCTGTATAGTGTTTATTCCAAGATGTTGATCTGCCAAGTCTCCATGTCACCAAAATGGTTCTCTGGAGATCTCTGGAGATGTCTGGAGAGATCTCTGAAGAAGATAAACTAGGTTATTGAGGCTCCTGAAAATGAGTTCAAAGTTCCCTTGGAGGACCGAATACAAAATTTATAGCCATCACACTAATGTAATATTTGACAAAAATATCACAGTTTATGCAATGACATTGAACAATGTCACATCAGTTCTGCTTTTACAGTAAACAATACCAAATTTATTTCGTTAGGCACAGGTCTCTCTCTAATTAAAGACCACATTTGGGACCAGAGCTCATAGGCTTTAGCAGCTTGGTAGGTAATTAGAATAATAAAGATAAAAGAGATTTGTTAATTTTTTTTATGGGACTGTAAAAAAGTGGTCTTTAATTAGAGGTAGTCTTTAATTGGAGGGGTCCTTAATTAGAGGATCCGAGCATTATGCCAAAATATTTAGCACCACCTTTTTTGGGTGTTGAGAGCATGCATACTGTGCTCTTTTTGCATGCTATAGCACATTTAATATTAATAATTGCATAACATAGAATGTAATATATCATTTTATGTGTTACATTCTATATTGTAAACTTCAAGACACATTCTAAACAATCTCGGCTCTCGTTATTATCCTCACATATGCGCTGTGACGACAACCATTTTTTATGTCATTGTGTGTGATGTCCAAAGATTACAGATTGTGATTATTATTACCACCATAATAAAAATAATAAATTACATTTGAACATGTTTGGATTATATCACCTAAAAGGTATTTTTCTACAAATTTGCTGTTGCCATATTAATAAATAATAATGATAAATTAATTATTATTACTTAAATAATAATAATTATAATACTAAAATGTATTAAAGTATAGAACACAACATTCGATGTACTGTATACTTAAAGATGCTTCATCCTAAAGAAAAGGTCCTAAAAATACCATACCATCCTGCACATTTTTTTTCACAATGTCATGTCTATTGATATTAAAATGAATTAATTCTAAAATATGATTGGCTAAATCATTCAAATTGTAATTAACTGTCTACCAATCAAAAAACATGGTTATTTTTATATTATTATAAATTTGTTAACGCCATTTCTTTCATGTACGGTATATCATTATAACAACTGTCCAAGAATAATTTGATGTGCAGCCAACAGTCATGTCCAATTATTCTTTTGTGCTGTCCAACTTAATCAATTTATTTTAAAATTTGTATAATTTGATGTACATTAGCTGGGCATAAACCAATTAACCAATTGCAAATGATGATTAAAATTGTATGTAAAGATAATTAAGAAAGATCTTATTAGTGAATTGTGCTCCATTATTCTTAAGCAAATTATACAGATAATTAAAGACTTGTCCATCCAATGAATAATAAATACTATAAAAAAAAACCTTCTCTTTTAGTAAAATTCAAATCATCAATCATCAAGCTGTTTCACTCACTGCTGTGTTAAGCCCATCTTCCAACATTTTCCATCTTTTTCTGTCCATTGCCATTCTTGCCCAGTTTGTTGTTCTTCATGTAAGTTGTGATGTCATCCCTCTACCTTTTTTGTCTCCTTTTCCTCCTTTATCTGGTTCTTAACTTCTTGGTTGCCAATTTGTTAATTTCTTAGGATAGTCCATCTATTGTCTTCTATTTATGGGCCCAGCCCATCTCAATTTCATTTCTGCCTTCTCCATAACATCTCCTGTTAGTTTTCTTATTTTGGTGTGTCTCGCCTTATCCTATAGCGATAGTGATTTTTCCTTTACATGGCTTTTTTGGATTGATATTCAAACTAAGAACTCTTTAACTATCAATTCTATAAGGTTATTTATAATAAAAAAACATTGTATAAAGAAAATTAAATAAAGCTCTTTCCAGACTATCAAATTTTATTTGACAAAAACATGCATCATGACTAAATATGGGCATAAAACAATTTTTTTGTCAAAGAAAATTTGATAATGTTGATAAAGCTTACTGCAGGTTTGGGAGTACAGTAGGCCTATTAAAAAGCATACAGTACAGTCCTAAATATTTTTGATGATATTTTTGATAAAAATATCTGTTGTCAAGATAAATGTTTATACAATAATACCGTATATATTCTCACACGTAAAGTGATCAATGTGTAAAACTACCCCTGAGTTTGGGAAGACTTTTGGATAACCTCCCCTCCCCTCCAAGGCTTTTGGATAACCTCCCCTCCCCCCCCCCCCCCCCTTGTTTCACCTTCGTCATTGCTCCTTTCATTACGATTTACTGGGAACAAGCCTGCGTGCCCTTCAAATCATAGGCTTTGTGAAGATCATGGTATTCAAGAGCATTACCGTAATTAAAACCTGATTTTGAATTTGCGTTCATTCATACTACATTTAGTAGCTTAATTTTAATAGTAAATTTGCGTGCTTATACGGACCATAAGACAAACATGATGTAAAAAGCCTAAAATTAGCTATTTTAAGCCTTGTATTATACACAAGAAAATATGATAATAATATTAAAAACAATAAAATAGAAAAACAATAAAATATCTTTGTGGAGAACTTTTCGAGTAATGTTTTTATAACACTTAGGTTGCAGATAAGCGACAGTGATTTATTTTTGTGGCCTTCGAAAATGCACTTAAAAACCCTATGTTTGCAGTGACTTGGCACCGATCATCTGTAAAAAGCAATATTAAAACTAAGAATAAAGTGGTATAAAAGCAGTGCATGAAGGTTTTTTAAAGCACACAGGAAACATCAGAGTTTGGGTTCGGTCCTGTGTTAAATCAAAAATTGACTTTGGCCCTCCAACCATTTCTTATGCCCACTCCTGACTTGCATGTGAGGTTATAATGTCACATTGAATTATTTGTATTGTATTTTATTTTTATAAGGCTAAAAATTATATGATAAATGATATATGATGTATCTATATTTTTAAACACAAGAATCACTCAAATATGTCTCCAAGATGATGAAGGTATTTATAATAATCAAATAATCATATTTGTTTAAATTTATGCTAATCACGTACAAAGCTCTCCATCATGTCTTTCACACGTCTACGCATGTGATATGCTGACTTTAGACATCATGCTTTATGTCATTAAGCTCATCAACTTGTTACCAGAATCTTCCCTAGGGGTATAATTACAGGAGTGCAGAACAGGAAACGTGCCCAAAGCACAGAAATGAGGGGAAGGGGCGTTCATAATGAGCCTAGACAAAAATTATATAGGGCTTTAAAATTCTGAAGACAAGAAGCTCAGAACGAAGAACCTCTCCAAGCTGGCCGCCATTTCCATTCCTCCCCGGGGGGCCAAAAACACTATTTAGCCCATGTGTGCTCCTATACTCTGGAACTATGAGTTGCCTATGTATCGCGTGTCTTCGAGCCCTCCATGGTAAAAACATTTTGAATAATTCTTCAGAAAATTGCATGGAAATTCTCAGCTTGTGGCCGACCATTTGAGGCCAGCTCCAACAGTTGGATTGTACAATACATTGCATATGAGAAAATACATTATGCATTGTATGCAATGATATATTTCTTATATCGTTTACTGTCAAAATTAATAATATTTATGTAATGTTATATTAGATGCATATTCCTTAAGATCCAACTTATCACACATTGCTGGTTGAGCAGTTTTTCAATTCCTTCATCAGGTAATCTAATGACGATAAGCATCGCTGCCTCTAAAAAAATGTTTTCTTTAGAGAATAGATAACAAACATTATACCGTATCTCATAAATCAGTTTTTGCTATGGGCCCAGTTTCAAATTCATCCTCTAACTAATGGTTAATTACAGTTTGCCACTGTCTTATTTTTTTTCTTAAATCAAATGAAACCTCATTCATCATTGGCTGCTAAAATGCATACATTCTGAATTTTTATTTCTGTGATTGGCTACTGTATATCTCATCTATTACAAGCCATGCACAAAATGTACTATGTACACATAGTTAAATGAAAGAAGTTATACTTGGAGCCTACTCAACTAGTATACCATTTTTTTTTTCTATAGTTGTGTAGTTGCTAGAAAATGGAGAAAATAAATTGATGGTTATTCTTTAAAGTGCTGAGTTCTTTCGTGATATGTATTCTTATGAATAAACCATAAGAAAGGCAAAAATAATAGTGTGATTTGTATCCTTTTCTGCTAAAATAAGTCCGTACATAATGTGTTTTAATCCTGAAAATTAAAGATGTTTAAATTATGTTGATAATGTTAATACTTAAATTTATTCTGTTGTTCATCTTCACAGCAACTGTGCATTTCTTTGAGAACTACTTTGATATGCCTGGAGCGCTTGTATTTGCCCGGATGGTGGATCTAGAAGATAAAAAGGTTTGTAATAATGATTTTATTATGTTGTATTAATGTTGACTTAAGCCTCTGGTTTCCATGAAATCGCTACACTGTCGCTACAACGTTTCTAGAGCAATCGTTTTACTCTGGAGCAGTCCCGGATTCAATCCTATTCTACTGACAATCAGCATCACCGAAAGCTGTCAGCGATTGTACAGAAAACCAAGCTTTACATAGTATGCTCAAAGAAAATGATATGAATGTGTAATTTAAATACTAATACCCTTTTCACACATAAAGAAAATGTTTAAATAGAAGTTGCATGTTTCAATTAAAGCTTTGTCAAATTTCATTAGACAAAATAAGTGACATGCCTAAATATGGTCATGATGACATCACAATATGACCATATATAGCCATATCATGACTATATACAGTACGGGCATACAACAGTTTTTTGTCTAAGAAAAAAGTGATAATATTCCTGAAATATCTACCAACATCACTATGGTCTTCTTTACATAGCGAATTTAAACCCTGCTAAAAGTCTGTACGACTGGTATTCAAACAATGGCAACAGGTTCAATTAAGCCCCAATAAAATAATAAGCGTCGCCCTGTGAGCCTACACATTTCTGCGTTCCTTTACATGGATGTACTGGCACACTATTAACGCGAGGTATCTGGCAAAATGCTTGCTATTTTTTTTCCAGCTTAAACACTTTCCTTGTAATAATTTGTGAATTAAATGTAGGTCAGTAGAAAAGTATAATTAGTAATGTTGTTTATAGTTATTCGTGGTTCTTCTAGGTTGTAAAATGTATAATTTTATTTGTTACGACAATGATTGATGGTATATATTTACAGTTGATATAGATCACTTTGGTGATTGTTCTTGTTGAGCATCCAGGCTGTTGGAACAAACCGCAAAAGTTCTACCCATAACTAACGATCTTTGTCGCACTGTTATGGATTGCACTTTGTAATAGAATTGTTTTGTTGTCCTGTACTCTTGCCATAATCGGGGGCCCCAAGTTAGGAAAAGATATTTCCGTAAGATCTGGTTTGATGAAATTTTTAAACACATATCCCTATGAATTTTACTGCATATAATGACATAAAGCAGCAACTGGCCCGTATTCCACAGAATCATGACAAAATTATTTACTACAAATATAATAAGATAATTTTTGTGGGTGCAATAAAATAAAATGTTTCTCAAGGGGTGCTGAATTCAGATCAGGAGAAGTACCATATAATTAGTCATGAATTTGTTGTTCTATCTGATTTTTAATGATTGCACAATCATATGCTAGTTGTAATGACAATGCAACAATGTGTAGTTGGTGATAGTTTAAGAAAGTAATAGATCTGCATACTTCAAAATTCAAATTGAAAATAATTTATTTCATAATTAATAGCCTGCATTAGAATGAAGCATTCATCATGCAATTGATGATGTATTATTTGTTATGAGAAACCATTGTTTACTACTGTATATAATTCAAATATTAGAGTTTAGGGTCTATTTTAATATATTGTATACAGAGAATTATTTAATTTATACCAATAACATTTTTAAATTTTTGTATCCAGATTTTATGCAATTTTGTTACAAACATTGACAAAGAAGAAATTTTATACAATTTAGTAGATTATTTGATCAAACATTTTACTTCAGCTTTGGGCAAATAAAATAGAAATGACTTTTTTTTTCTTCGTTCAGACCATTTATTGCTCAGTGAATGGTTGCATTTTTATTGCTTGTATTACTGCTTTGATAGTCTATAGAAGATATTTGCATTATTATCACGATTCAACATTCTGAATAATAGTAATTGTTGCAATCGAGTGGTCATCAATTTGAACGTTGATACATTCCATTATACTTATTGCAGATATCAATTGTGCTACAAGATTCTTACAATTTACATAACACATTTTCATTTTACCTCACTGTTTTATTGATAAATTATTAGTTAGAGAATGCTGTATATGCTATAAATTAATTGTTTTGTTTTTGCTATTTTTATTTATTTGATCTGTCAAAAAAAATTTTCTATAGTGGTGGACACATACTGACAGGAATAATAGCAATCTGAAATTGCTATATTCCATTTCTTACACCCATTAAAACACAGGTGGGCAAAGTGCAGCCCGTCAGCAATTTTTTTTTGCGGCTCACGAAAATGAATTACAAGCCCTATGTGTGCAGCCTGCCAACCATTTTGGCTTTTTTGCGGCCCCGGCACCAATCACCTGTAAAAAGTATAGTAAAACAAGCATAAGTGCACTGAAACATCAGAGTTTGGGTGTTTGAATCAGAAATTCACTTTGGCCCTCCGACCAATTTTAATACCCACCCCTGCTTTAAAGGGTGATTAAGATATGGTCCAACCAATGGTTGCCGGGTTGACACAGTTGCATGAAGAACGCAATGCGTAAGGCATGTGCAACAAATCGTTTTTTTAATGACGATTAGTACACACGTCCACCAACAATCAGCAGACGATGTCGTGTCATGTTCTCACAAAGAGCGCAGATGGATTTGTCGCCAGATGGTTTTATAACCGTACAATGCAGCGTGCATGTCCAGCTTAACACGCCGAGCTAGGTTCTCAATTGGCTCCTCCTCATCTTAAGTAGTGCGCCATTAAAATTGATTTGATTTACAAAAGGAAACGCAATACTCATCAATAATGACTTATGAAGGAACAGAATCAAAGTTTGATCTGTGTATAGTACTAAATGTATACAATATAGATAATGAACAATCAATCTGCATTGCTACTTAATGCCTGTTTGAGTATTGAAAAAAAACATGTGTTTCTGCTTATGTATAAAAAATATTAATGATTGCATAATTGCCATACATTCGGGAATATTTGTAGACATTTTGACTACAAATTTGTTCTGATGGATGAATATTATTACAATATTTATCATTACAAAAAAAAAATATAATTGTGAAAATGATAAAAATTAAAAGCAAATAAATGTGGTTACTCAAGAATAACCTAATATTGAGTATCAACTTATACATAATTTATATTAAAGAACTTGATTTTACTTTGTGGTGAAAAACAAAACCTGCATGGGATAGATTTTCCTAATTTTCATATTGACAGGTGTATTGTGGTACATTTTTGCAATGGTTTTCCTGCAAAGTGGCACTGCATGATTACAGGGAAACCCCTTGTTGTTACAATTCTTTAAAAGCATATTTGGGCATAATACAGAATAACTTAATATTGTTATGTTTCTCCAGGCTCACGGCAACTTATTCCCCAAGCCTCCAGCAGTACTTCGCCTTAGCATTAGCCTCTGCTGAAAGTGGACCTTTCCTGGTGTGTCAATCAAACTTCATCTTGTGAGACCTTACCAACAATATCCAAGGGGTGGGGCTTAGCAGAAAGGTCCATTATCAGACTCACCTGATGGACAGCTTTGCTTCCTGTCAATGTGGAGTCCCCCATTGGCTAATTCTGTATTGTTTCACCAACATGCTCCATCAAATCACTTTCTATCCAGTAGACTTATTAACACAAATATATATTAATTTTAAAATGTATGAGAATTTTATGAATTAAATGTAATTTAATAATTTTATCTTTGTAGGCTGGAAAGAGGTTGTATGAGTACAAGTTCCAGAGAGATATTGCGGCATCGTTTGAGAAAGTGTTCAGGCGTCAAGCATATGCCGGTTTGACAACGTTTGATTGATTTAGCCACTGAAGCCAAAGATGGCAATATCAAGACAATTTATCACTGTTACATCATCAATCTCTTTCACTAAATTCGTAGAAGTATAATTATACAATTATAGGCCTTCTATAGTAGCCTACACAATACTTTCCAATATCATAATAAGAAATTTTACATACCGTACATTAAAAATAAAAGACAAGCAAGAATTTAAAAAGCCATAAGAACAAAAGGACTGAGATTTGGGAAATTATCTTACAAGACCGGCTAATTGACCAATTTTCTGAGGGGTTCCCTAGACATATACAATGATATCATGACAGAAAAGTTATTGGTCGGTACACCAGGAGATCCCCGCCCCTCCCCCCACCCATCAGCCTGTCACCCCTTTGACTTTAAATACCACTCTATGTTCTATTTGAATTACAGTTGTATCTTACCAAAGCACACAAGTAAAGATCTGCATAGTATGGTTTGAACCATGACCTGAACATCGATACTTTACTCCTGCAACACAGGAGTCCCACGTCCCTCGGAACACCTGGGAGTCTCCCGGAAATTGGTATGGCCGCCCACACTCCTGCAAACAAGCAAAAATCTCCCGGAAATTCACTTATCTCCTGCAAATTCAGTAAAAAACAAATCTTTTTGTTTTATTTAGGCCTAAACTTTGGTTGCCGATTACTTTTTGCAGTCAGACACTGCCATTTCTGGCTTCTAAATGTGCCTATTCTAAAAAAAGTCATCTCCTCAGCCCCAACCATAGTGGGCGTGGCCCTTTGTTTGGTACCCACACTTTTTCCTCATAGAATGTATAGCGCCCCCAATGTCATTAAACGAATCTCCCGGAAATGGGTTTTTCCAACTTGGGACCCCTGTTCCTACAACATATCATAATGGTAATTGATTATAGCGATAGTAGTAATAATTATGAAGTAAAATAATGATAATTTTTCTTTACTTAATTGCAGAGGGTTCAGGTGGCTACTTCCCTAGCTACAAAGCAGACCCGTTGAAGTTGATACAGCCTTGCAGTGACAGTGTCAAGCGGTGGCTACGAAGCCTCAAGGAAAGCGGCAAGTTTGTGTTCTTGATGACAAGTTCTAACGTTGACTATGGTGTTTCCCTGCTTGAGTACACTCTAGGGTAAGTACAGTATAGTAATTTGATGTTGCATCCCTGCCTAAAGCTTGGTTTCTATACAATTGCTACATCCTATTGTTGACAGCTTTTGGTGATGCTGATTGGTCGGTTGAGTTAGGAAGCCTTCCCGATTGCATCGGCGACTGCTACGGAGTACAATGATTGAACTGAAGACACTGTAGCGACAGTGTAGTGATTTTAGGGAAGCCAGACTTTGATTCCTTATGAGGTAAATTATAAGAGCAAAGGGTTCTAGGTTCTAGACCTCCATGGATTGCAGAAAATATCTGGCAGGGTCAAGGAGCAAACTTTCTGCAGCTGTCATTTTAGCAATACATTGTGAAAATGAATCTCAGCATAGTTTTGAAGGTACTTGAAGCAAGGGGGAAAGAGGTGGTTTGGTAAATCTGAAAGGGGGCTCGCTCAAACATTTTTTTCTCTGTAATGAACACCAAAGTACAGTATTATGCAAGATGTTTTACTGTTTGGATGGATTACATCTTGAATTTTGGGGTTCCATGTCTACCGCAAGTCGCAGGAATCTCTAGGAAACCGGGACGGTCTCCCACACTCCTGCAAGCAAGCAAGAACTCCCAGAAAATAACCCATCCACCGCAAATTCATAAAATATTTGCATGTTTTTGCTACTAAATTATCAGTTGTCTCACGAAAGTCAGTGCTGATGGGTATCACCATGCTTAGAAAATTAACATTAAATGTGTTTAAGAAAGCTAATTCAACCAGATCACTGGTAAGTTGCTTCTTCAAAATTGGAAAACCTGCTTTTTTCATTAGTTCAGATTCCCAAAAGAAATACAGAACAAACTGTTGCTATTTATTTATAGCAGAAAATAATAATTGAAGCATTGAGATGAAAGAACTCATTGCCGCAATGATTAAGGTAATCGTTTTGTCCAGACATATTTGTAACAGAGCTTTCATATTTTGGATGAATGATGTTATGTTGTTGACGCCAACGTGACTGTGTGCAAAACACGCAGACATAAGATTGATATCCGATTGCCTCTCTATGTAGCCTCTGTTTTATTTACTTCAAAAAGTTGCTTCCTGTAATGTTGAACTCATAACTCCAGTTATGGTTTGTATAATTAAGTTGCTGATATTTTTATTCGATTTGTGTTATCAGATATATGTCTTGAAATTGGTCAAATAATTTGTAGAAATCTCTTTCTACACTAGAAACTTTGACAAAAAAGTGTTGTATGGCCATATATAGATATGCTGTGTCCATATATGGTCATAACGTGACCATATTTAGTCATGTCATGTGTTTTTGTCAGTAAATGTTGACATTCTGTACAGGGCTTTGTGGCATGCATATAAATATTTACTTTATGATTGATATGATATACCCTTAACTTTTTTTTATGGTCATTGGATTAGGGAATCAATTATACTCAATGTATAATTATTACTTCTGCTCCCTGGGGAGAATTCATTATCATGCAAAATTAATAATGTAATCCAATGGGATGCTAAAGATTTTTTATTTATTTTAATCAAATATGTAATCTTTGTTTCATTGTTTCTATCTATTTAATGGCAGAAAAATAAAGTAAGGAATAATGTTAGTATACTAGAGGGTCAGCTTATAGATCTTCATTTTGGTTCTTTTCTTTTGTGATTTTCATTTTTTCTAAAAAATTATATTCTTGTATCTGCGATTGAGGATGGGCAAACCAGCACTGCTACAGTGATTTAGTTAACTTTGGTTGGCCCTGCTGGTTTCCCCAATTTTTGTATATTGTACCAAATAAATAATGAAATGAAATGAGATCAAATGTTAGAACTTGGCTGAGATACCTTTCTGCTACATTGTGATATTTATTATACAATTTGCAAATGCTTCCATGTGTACAGGGTTAGAGTCCTCATCATCCAGTCCCAGTTCCATGGGTTCAAATCATCTACAATCCCATCTTTTTTTGTTCTTGCACCAAAAACACATCCACTCCCTTCAGGTTAGTCGTATGTAGGAGTATTGAAATGGTATAGGGGTGGATGGTTTGGGGGAAAGGTATTGTGGGGTGCTCGATGATTAAAAGGGGCACTAGCTCACACAATGGAGTGATTTTTATCAATGATTTTTTGCTTTAAACAATTTCATTGGGTGAGGGGGATACTTGGGGATCGTGAGTGGGTTTTTAGGGTGGGGGTGTGCGCACCTTCTACATACTCTACTGCTACACTTTCATAAGACATAATTATTGGAATGGATACTCCAAGCAAACTGCAGTTATGAAAAAATAAAACATTTAAGCTAGAATAGGGAATATATAGTAGAAAGCCAGCTCAAAAATGTGTATAATATCTTTTTAGTAGTTGTTGTTGTTTGAGATTATTTTCTTCTTAATTTTAGAAAAGATTGGCAAAGCTATTTTGATGTCAGTTTATTCTACGCAAGAAAACCAGGATTCTTCACTGAAGAAGATCCAACAAAGCGCCCCTTCTTGGAAATCAGTAAGTAAGAATAACAAAACTGTTAGTGGAGCTGATGTCAGAGGGCGCCCTCAGATCACCGGTAATTGTGAACTGAATTGGTCACTCTCATTAAATATGGTTTAAATAAAATGAAATGTTTTTTCGTTTAAGATCCCATTACCCAAGTATCTTATATCAAAGGTACTATTAGCATGGTCTTAATATGTTGTATCTGAAAACCGACGCCCGACAATTGTAGGCTGACGCGATTGCTAGAACATAACACAACAATGTGCGCCCAACTTATTCCCTCAGATGGTGTTGTATCATCTAGCGCTCATAGAGAAGGAAGATAAATTCTTCGGCTGATGGTTGTATGGCTGTCGTATAAATCAGTGTTTGTCCGGCTTTTCATAAAAAGGATTTGTGATAACAAAAGAAAACAAAAAATTGAGAATAAACTATTTAAAGCATTATCAAAACTCATGTAATCAACACAATATATATACATGTACATTGATAATAATGATATAAAGTACTCTGGTGATGTGATACCATTATCACTTCATTCTTTGATGTACGTAAAGGATTAAAAGGCCCCTACTGGTGCCTTTAGGTTCGTCACGATTTCTGATCAGAGCCCACAATTCAGTGTATTTTACTTGCTTCATTTTAGTCTAATTTTAAAGAATTTCTCTGTTAATTCAGTTAATAAATAGTTTGAGCCGTAGTCAATTCCATGAAATACAAATAAAATCCAGCTTCATCGAAGCCACCACAAGCTGATAAAAGCTTGTCTCAATAAATGTGTTAGTCAAAAGAATGTGAATTAAAGTGCAGTACCTAAAATGTCTGTTACTTCATACATACATCCAGGTCAGCTCTTGTCCTTCCATATTTTTTCTACAAATTTTGTTTCCATTTCTAGCATTGCAGATTTTTTTTTTGTGATACTGATATACCATCCAGATATAGTGATATATAGTGATAGTTTGTATAGCAATGGCAGATTGAAGGGCCCAAGTTAGCTCCCCTTCACCCCCCTCCCCTTCTAAATTTGGCAAAAGTATTTTTAAAATTAAGAAAAAAAAAGAAAATTATATTCAAATTTAAGTCTGAGAGTGCCATTTCTGGACTACTAGAAGTGCCATAATGATAAATTCTTACCACAGCCGTAACCATGATGGGGCTGATGTGGTATCTACCCCCTATCTGTGAAACTCCTTCCCTGAGCCCCTTCTAACTAAAATTCCTGGATCCGCCGTTGTGTAGTGATGTAGATATAGTGTGATAATATAGTATAGTAATATATAACTTTAAATGACATATTGTGTATAAACTATGAATTACAATTCAACAAACAGTTACATCTATAAAATACAAAATTCAAAAATTACTTTCTATTAAATTGTAGTAGAAAGTTCAAATATTTATACATTATTTAATCAAGCAAATGGCAGAAGTAAATGATTTATTGCTGTATAGTGAATGTTCTACAAATAGGAATGCTTTTAGGCTGTAATTGGCGAGTTCGGAAGAGAATGAAAAAAATGAATAACATTTAAAAATTATGACACATCCATCACGATGCATGACAACTTATCGTGTAGAGCATAATGAAAACTGTAATGATAGAATAAACTATATATTAGTATAGTGCACTTTCAATACCTTTCAAGTGATGGAGTATTCAATAAATTATTTTCTACAGTAGACAACTCATTATCTATCATTTGTCACTTTTTTAGGACTTTGAGTCTCTTTATACAAAAAATACCCTTCATTCTGTCATTCCAATAAAACTTTGTCATAGAGTTTGGATAATATGCGATATATGTGATATATAAGTGTAAATTATTATTATTATTATTATTATTGTTATTATTATTAATTATTATTATTATTATTATTATTATTATTATTATTATTAGTATTATTTGGTGATTCCATTTAATACTTTATAGTGTAGAGTGCACATCTAACTTTGACTAAATGTCAGTGAAATTTAGTGTGTAGAAAATATAGAGGGCACTCTTAATGTCTTCTTAAGCACCACAATACTTAAACAGCAAAAACATCCAAATTAGATCAGTCTGAACTTTCTCTTCCTTTTATTTCTTCCATAATTACTTGAAAACACAAGTCGGTATCCACAATATTCATAACTATCCAACCAGGTTTTCAAAAAACAATATTACAACAGAAAAATGTATATCTTCTCTTAGAAAAAAATCAGTATTTTATAATGGACCTAAGTTATGGAATTCCCTTGATCCCTTTTTTAAATCTTTACCCAGTTTTTCTTCTTTTAAACTTAATATCAAACGATATCTGGTCTCGATGTATGGTAATTAAGCCTTCTAACTTATGTATTAAAATAGAAACCAGACTACCTGTTTATGTTTTCAGTTTTTGTATTTTATTTTTATTTTAATGGTGGCCACATCTTAAAGTTTTTCTTAAACTTATTGTGGTCTCCATCCACATAGATTTTTTGAATATGTTTGATCATGTATATCTTTGTTTTTGTTCATTATGTGGAAAATAAATAAATCAATCAATCAATCAATATTCTTTAACTTCAGCTCAATCCAGTTCATCTCTTCCTGTACTGCTTAATGTAATAGCTGCTAACCACACTCAAGTTCAAGTTCTTATAACACAGGTCTATAACAAATTTCCTGACCATCTAGAACAATTAACATAAAACTCATTCTATTTTGAATAAGCGCCACAGTGCTTAACCAAGAGTACATTACCCCGTGTCTAATGAAAGGGTTTTATAACACAAGTGTTCAAGTGAATACAATGAAAGCCACAAGCATATATGTAAACATCTGTAAATGTTTACGATAATGTAGGGTTTATGATAGGCCTACAGAACTATGGGAATACGTATGATAGGTAACATGAAAATAGGCATGGAAAGCGACATGCCAATATTTTTTTTATTAGCGCTCCTCTTAAATAAGCGCCTCTCTCGAATAAGCACCGCATTGAGGCCTCCAAATATTTTATTTGGAGGCTTTATTTATTTAAAGATTTACTGTTAGTATATATAATATATAAAATGCTTATCTAAGAATATATTTTTAAAAAAACAACAATTTTATTCAAGTACATATATAAAGCAATTTCCAATTAATTTCCTTAATTATTTTTCTTTTTTTTTAAAACCAATTTAAACTACATTTAATATTATGTGTTAAAACCATGACTTAACCCTGTACAACTCCAATCTTGATATAGACCTTATTTTAGAATTAAGATTAACTTTTCATACCGACTTTAGTTATCCATGAAGCGATTTGTAAGGTAAAAACCCAGACTTGTGAGGGCCGAGGTTCTTATTCTGCGTTCCGTGAAAAAATTGTTGGCCTCTCCTCACTGGTGAATATGCACCCCTTCTCCAGGGGGCGGATGCATGACTGATTTAAAGAGAGCTCAAAATATATTTTTAAAATTTTTAATTCAGGTAGAAATGTTAGGTCCTTTATTATTTTCTATAATCTAAAGCGATAAATGTTAATAATTTTTGGTACAAACCCTAGAGTCCAATTATATGAAGAGGACATGCAATTACATCTGGTTTTTTTTTTTTTTTTTATCAAAATAGACATTCAATCCTTTGTACCATTGACGCTACATTATTCCAAGTCTTGGATGTAGGGATAATTATAAATTCTTACCACAACCGTAACCATGATGGGGCTGATGTGGTATCTACCCTCTATCTGTGAAACTCCTTCCCTGAGCCCCTCTATCTAAAATTCCTGGATCCGCCGCTGTGTAGTGATGTAGATATAGTGTGATAATAATAGTGTAGTAATATATAACTTTAAATGATATATTGTGTATAAACTATGAATTACAATTCAACAAACCGTTAAATCTATAAAATACAAAATTCAAAAATTACTTTCTATTAAATTGTAGTAGAAAGTTAAAATATTTATACATTATTTAATCAAGCAAATGGCAGAAGTAAATGATTTATAGCTGTATGGTGAATGTTCTACAAACAGAAATGCTTTTAGGCTGTAATTGGCGAGTTCGGAAGAGAATGAAAAAAATGAATAACATTTAAAAATTATGACACATCCATCACGATGCATGACAACTTATCGTGTAGAGCATAATGAAAACTGTAATGATAGAATAAACTATATATTAGTATAGTGCACTTTCGATACCTTTCGAGTGATGCAGTATTCAATAAATTATTTTCTACAGTAGACAACTCATTATTTATCATTTGTCACTTTTTTAGGACTTTGAGTCTCTTTACAAAAAATACCCTTCATTCTGTCATTCCAATAAAACTTTGTCATAGAGTTTGGATAATATGCGATATATGTGATATTATAAGTGTAAATTATTATTATTATTATTATTATTATTATTGTTATTGTTATTATTATTATTATTATTATTATTATTATTATTTATTATTTTTATTTTTATTATTATTAGTATTATTTGGTGATTCCATTTAATACTTTATAGTGTAGAGTGCACATCTAACTTTGACTAAATGTCAGTGAAATTTAGTGAGTAGAAAATATAGAGGGCACTCTTAATGTCGTCTTAAGCACCACAATACTTAAACAGCAAAAACATCCAAATTAGATCAGTCTGAACTTTCTCTTCCTTTTATTTCTTCCATAATTATTTGAAAACTCATGTCGGTATCCACAATATTCTTTAACTTCAGTTCATTCCAGTTCATCTCTTCCTGTACTGCTTAATGTAATAGCTGCTAACCACACTCTGTTCAAGTTCTTATAACACAGGTCTATAACAAATTTCCTGACCATCTAGAAAAATCAACATAAAACTCATTCTATTTTGAATAAGCGCCACAGTGCTTAATCAAGAGTACATTACCCCGTGTCTAATGAAACACTTCAAGAAATAGGGTTTTATAACACAACAGTGTTCAAGTGAATAAAACGAATACAATGAAAGCCACAAGCATATATGTAAACATCTGTAAACGTTTACGATGATGTAGGGCTTATGATAGGGCTGCAGAACTACGGGAATACATAAGATAGGTAACATGAAAATGGCATGGAAAGCGACATGCCAATATTTTTTTTATTAGCGCTCCTCTTAAATAAGCGCTGCTCTCGAACAAGCACTGCATTGAAGCCTCCAACTATTTTATTTGGAGGCTTTATTTATTTAAAGATTTACTGTTAGTATATATAATATATAAAATGCTTATCTAAGAATATATTTAAAAAAAACAACAATTTTATTCAAGTACATATATAAAGCAATTTCCAATTAATTTCCTTAATTATTTTTCATTTTTTTCAAAAACCAATAACTACATTTAATTTTATGTGTTAAAACCATGACTTAACCCTGTACAACTCCAATCTTGATATAGACCTTATTTTAGAATTAAGATTAACTTTTCATACCGACTTTAGTTATCCATGAAGCGATTTGTAAGGTAAAAACCAGAGGGCCGAGGTTCTTATTCTGTGTTCCGTGAAAAAATTGTTGGCCTCTCCTCACTGGTGAATATGCACCCCTTCTCCAGGGGGTGGATGCATGACTGATTTAAAGAGAGCTCAAAATATATTTTTAAAATTTTTAATTCAGGTAGAAATGTTAGGTCCTTTATTATTTTCTATAATCTAAAGCGATAAATGTTAATAATTTTTGGTACAAACCCTAGAGTCCAATTATATGAAGAGGACATGCAATTACATCTGGTTTTTTTTTTTTTTTTTATCAAAATAGACATTCAATCCTTTGTACCATTGACGCTACATTATTCCAAGTCTTGGATGTAGGGGGGTAATAAACTTTTTGTTTATTTCTTTAATATTTATCCAAAAATGTTATCAGGGAGTAGGTCACAATTAAATGACCAATGTATGCAAAAATTCATAACCAATCAAGGTACTGTATTTGGAAATTCAAGTTTGCTTGTTTACAAACTTTCAACGAATTTGATGACAACAAATAATTGTTAGTGAAAGTCTGCCCATCTAGTTTATAAATCGTACAGGTTTGCCACAGCGCGTTTTTCACTTCTTGATCTACTGTTGTTTACTTCAATATGAGTATGATAGCCATCTTGGAGTACTTCACTTCCATTTACAATATTTATAACATTGAAATCCACATCTTCTGGATTACATGTAGGACTGCAAGGCTGCTCATATACGGGTTCAACATTTTCTAACTTGTTGTTAGAACCATTATTTGTTGGTTGCTCATTTCCTCTTTTCCTGTATATGTAGCAAAAAAGGCAAACACAAACACACAAGAGGATGATTGATGTAATGACAGTGATTGTAATAATCAAGGAAAAACTCTTGTCATCAGGACCCTCAGTTGGTGTTGGGTCTGAGTAGCAGTAGGAAAGTGTGTCTCTTTCTAAATTACAAGTTCCTATTTCCCAATCATTTTGTGTGGTTTTACACTGAAATATGGTGCCCAAATCATCTTCTTCAAGAATGAATGTATAATTCACATAGACAAAAGAATGGGTTGTGGCTGATTGTAGGCTGTTAACGTCTTCTCCATTTCTAGTCCATTGTAGATTGACTGTTGGCACACCAGGTTCAGAATAGCAAGAGATAGTTACACTTGATCCGATGAACTCGGATGAAAAGTTGCATGCTTTACAGATTGGATACATAGGTAATGGAGGATAGTAAGTGTCCAGGATGATACCACTTGATACAAGCACTGCTTCACCTGTACCCTTCAAAATTATTTCACAAGTGTAAATGTTACCATTAAGTAGACCACCAAGATTACGACCTTTCAACTGTGTTATTTGTAAATCATATACACTATGGAGTGAGTAAGCTTCTGCCTCTCGACCCAGCTTACTGTTTATCAGTGTGCCATCCCTGTAAATGACTGTCCTATCACCTGTTTTTGTTCTTCTATACCAATAGGTTGAGTAGTCATCAGTTAGGTCCTTCACTTTACAGCAAAGATCAACAGAGCTTCCTTCAGTTAGTATACCACTTCCAGTAGTAACATTATTAAATGTTGGAGTGCCCTGGCCAGGAAGAACCAGGGCTAGACATAAGATTCCAATATACGACATCTACAATCCAAACTCTGTCTTTCATAGGAATAAACTCAAATTTAAATGTCTTTGTATACTGTAAAGCTAGAATACCTTTGATTCCTGTTTAGTGTCAAACAATTCTCATGTATTAACCATTTTTTGGATTCTGAATAGTTCATATTTTAAAATAAATATACTTCCTTATCAATGTATTATTCATACCAGAATGATTTTCTGTTCTTGTAAAGTTTACACAATTTGATTCTTTTGTTGAATAATTTGCATATCAATAAAATCAGGCTGTGGTACATAGATATTTTTGAACTTGGGGAAAACTTCCAAAATATTCAAACTTTCTATTTTGCATTCTACCCATGACAGAAGCATAATGACACAAAAATAGTGGATAGCGTCACAGGGGCAGATCCAGAATTTTTGTTATTTTTTTATTTTTTTTAATGTATTTTTGAAACTGATAAGTTAGTAGCACTAATTTCAATATATGCATTGATATTTTAAAATTCAGGGCCCCCTCCCCACTGGATCTGCACCTGCGTCGTGTTGCGAGAAGAGAGGCATTATTGATAATGATGATAATTTCATGATGATGATATCTCATAAAAGATGATATCAGAGAATTATTGATGATGACAGACAAATAAACCATTTTTTTCCCCGATTAACTGTCAAAATCATTTCTGATGATTTATTATTTTTACCTTCATATACACAGTTCAGGAATACAGATTATACAAGTAATAATAGTTACAGACAGAGGTCTCGCCAGCTATACTTAAACCTGGCGGGACCGCCACACTTAGGCAAAATAAACAAAGATTGCGCCACACTTAAAATGTTAGCGCCATGCTAAACAACTATGTATTAAGTACAGTATATTTTATTCAAAACCGTACAGCAATAAATACCAAAGTTTTGAACTGTAGGCACAATGTTCCCATGGTGAACAGTACTTGTTCAATCGCATATCTTGAGGCCGCACCGCATTCAATGCAAGCCCAACTGTAGATCTCTTTGTACGCCTCATGTGCGTACAAGTAGGTACTTGTAAACTTAGGGAGGTCACTGGTCGACTAGTGGATAGGTTGCGTTCAGTACCGTACGTGCGTGACGATCGCAATATTCAGTGAAGTGTCTTTTATTTATGAACAGTGATTGATAAAACAACATTAATTGAATTTACGTAAATTTCATATGCAACTGTTTGTTTCTAGCCTTACCTATCGTGTAATGGAGTGTATCTGGTGGTATTTGAATCTGTTCAATCATGAAGCCTCCGTGGTCTAATGGTTATGTCGCTCGCCTTGATAGCGAGAGGTTGCAGGTTTGAGTTCCGCCAGAGGCATTTTATTACACAATTTCTTTATTCATTTATTTAGAGGACTACATTCGTTGAGATCTATGCTACACGATGTATTATTATTATGTCCTTTATTTGAACACTTTATTTACCTTTCTTTGATGATTTATATATGTATATATATATATGTGTGTGTATATATATATATATATATATATATATATATATATA